TCATTCTTTATGGAACACTTCTTCCTAAGTAAAAGCACCCTACGTCCCAATTTGATTAGTAAACTCATTCTTTTAGGAAATAAAAAATAAAAACTCTCTACGTCCCAAGTTTTTAGTTGTGCATATTATTTTAAAAAAGTTAATTATTTTTAACAATGGGAACAATCAACCGATATTTCTGGCAATCCTAAAAACACTAAATAATTTTAAAATCGACTTAAATGAAAACACTTCTTCCTAAGTGAAAAGGTTACATTCTTATGAAATTATTTAAAAAATTAGTGTTTAAAAACTAAAAAATCAGTAGAATTGAACACGTGGTAAATGAAAGTCATTTTGAATCATTTTAATTTATCATTTGACAAAGAAAGACTCCCTGCGTCGCAAATTAATTTGTAAATGAATAATTATTTTGTTTGACTAATTTATTTATGAATTGATCTAAATGAGCTTATGTGAAAATATTTCTCCTTAAACGATACCATTTAATTCTCATGTAACATTAAAAAACCTAAAAATTTTGAGAACTGAGCAAATGGGAGATAAAATTTATTTTGAAAGATTTCCATCTTTCATATAAAAAAATAAAATTACCTACGTCCCAATTTGATTTGTAAATTTAATCTTTAATGGACAAATTTAAATCCCTATGTTCCAATTTTTTAGTCTTACCTATAATTTTATTTAAAAAAAGTCTTATTTACTGTGAGTAGTGAACAAACAACTTAGAATATAATTATGGCAATCGAAAAAAGACTATATTTTTTAGAAAACAACATAAATGAAAATACTTCTCGCTAAATAAAATCATCTCGCTATACACACACACACACACAAATATATTTTATTAGAAATTAATAATGAAAAATTTCACATACTTCAAACCAAACTCTCAACATTGTAGATAACAAAAGAAACTTAAAAGTATTTAATCAATATCACTTATAAAGTAATTAATAGCAATTTGGAAATATAAATGTGACTTGAATTCTCAATGAAACATCCTACTAACGGTGTAATGGCAATGTTGGAAATAAAAAATGGTGTACAACATCCCAAGCATAATGTACAAGTCTTTTGGATGGAAAAAGTGCATAAAATTATAAGGGGTGCCTAACTCTCTTTCTCATTTATAATATATATATATATATATATATATATATATATATATATATATATATATATATATATATATATATATATATATATATATATATATATATATATATATATATATATATATATATATATATATATATATATATATATATATATATATATATATATATATATATATATATATAGAAGATAGGATGTGTGTGTAAGAGAGAGTTCATTAGTTGTAGTGGAAACACATGCCATATGACATGATAAAAAGTTTATCCACATGACATAGTGTCATCATTTTATTGGTCCACATGGCATTTATTAGTTTATTTTTTATTTAAAAAATTGTTCATGATTATTTCTTTTAATTACCATCAACTTCTATTTATAATACTTTTCATATTCTAATTATTATATTCATATGACCCCTATCATTTTAAAATATATTTTAATATCTTATAAGTAATTAATTACTTTTTAAAAGGTTATAACAACTTTATTAAATTTTTTAAAAGACAACTCTTTGTATAATTTTTTACACCATTTTCCTCTTTTATTCAATCTTAAAAAATATAAATTTATATGAAATATAATACATTTGCTTCATTATTAAAATTACAATTTTTATTTTTAAAACAAGTGCATAAGCATTAGTTAATATTGTTTTCCATTTCTTATATATTTATTTATTGTATCTAATATTAAAAATATCACATTTAGTAGTTTATATATATATATATATATATATATATATATATATATGAACATACCAAAGTTAAAATATCTATTATCATATTCAATGGCTAATGCTTTTGCATAACCTTTTTTTATGTTCTTAGTATTATATGAATATTCATTTATCGATTTTAAAATTCTAAAAAATTTTAAGCTTTCAAACTATTCACCATTTTTTCTTTTTATTACATTTCAAATACAGTAATTATATAAATTTTTGAGCAGGGAAATCATTGTTAAAATACAAATTTTATTTCAAAACATATTGTATCTAAGAGTCTTGCTACTACAAGATATCATATACAAATTTGAAATAATCGTATTAATATAAAATATCTATGTTCACTATTTTATCCGCTATTTTTTATTGGCGTTTATTTTTTATAGAAAAGAATGGAATAAAATAAATTTTCTTTTTTTATTTTCATACATGTATAGTGTTTCATACAAGAAGATGGCAGAATAAAACAAAAAATGAAACTATTTAAATTAATATATGTATTTTCATATTTAGAGTTTTTTGAATATTAATTTGTTATTAAATTTAAGTCAAAATGATTATATTATTTAACAACAAATTTCTATGTATTAGTAGATATATTTATATGATATATGTAATAAAAAGTATGTTTTAATTGATAAAAATTTGAAATAATTTTTAGTTATTTAATGTGTTTTTGTTAAAATCATACATAGTATCAATTGGGTTAATGTGTATTTATTTTAAAATTATTATATTAAATTAAAACATTATTATTCTTGCCAAAATATATAATATCAAGTGAAACTCAAATAATATACATATATGTAAAAGGTCGAATATCTAGTTATGTTGTTGAAGTATGTAGTTATACAATATGTGAAATTGCATGAATGATTACCTGAATTCCAAATATATTAAAGTTATTGATATTAATTTTTATATAAAATAACAGTTAAATAAATGTAATAGATATGGGAGTTTAGATTATAAAGACTAAGATTTCAGTGTATAAAAAGTTGTCTAAAATTCGTATTAAAAAATTCACTTATCCTTTAAAATTTTAAATAAAGTTTTCTATCAGAATTATAAATTTGATTAGTCAAGTGTAAATTAATAAGAGTCATAGAGACAGTTGATAAACACATCCTCCCTATCCTCCCTACGCAGGCCATGATATCTCCAAAGATGAAATGTCTATGCAAGTTATTTACAAGTAGCTAATGTATTATCCCTCATATATACATGCATGTATAATATTTATGCATTCTATCAATAGATAATGTGATAGAACAACTTTAATAGTAATTCACTTTTTTATTTAATTTTTTTATAATTTAATATAATTACAATTTTATATATATATTTTATAAAAAAAATATGCGAACCCATGCGAAGCACGTGATAAAATTATACATACTCCGTATTTCACTTATTTTTATTTATTTATTATAAAATTATACACACATGAATATAATGTAAAAGCCTACTGGCCCATGGGAAAAACGAGGTAAAACTTGATTTTAACAAATAATTAAGAATTGAAATATACAAAAATATACCCTAACCAATAATTAATCATATTGTTTTGTATCGTAACGTATATTTATCCGATCTGATACCTATATGAACTGATATATATCCAAAACATTTTTGAATTAGATCGTAGCCGAACTGAATAAAAAAATATAGAGAACGAAATTAACGATGACCCGAATAGAGCAAAACTAAAATGATCCGAACATCTTAAACACAAATCTTAATAGATCCAAACCAAAACCAAATTGACTGATCCGTTTGCAACATGTAGTCAGAAGTACAGGATCGCTCCGAAGCCATTTGTGACTAGGGCTGTAAGTGGATAACCAAAAATTTGATTATTGTCCCCATCCGTATCTGTTTATGTGGAAAATATTCTCATTCGCTAAAAGCGGTTATTATCTGCATCTAGTTAATGATATCTGATCGGTAAACAGATGCAGATTTTGTAATCATACATCTGATTCATTTATAATCCGCTCCGCATAGACATTCGTTAAAGTAACTGTTTATCTATGTATCCAATCCATTATACATTTGTGCGTATGTGTGTTGTGTATATTTTTTGCCATATGAAGTTGCCGTAGATCTGTTTTCGAATTTGATCCAATTTTAATTTTAAAATTAGAAACAGATATTGATATATCTGATATCCAACCGATATCCGACGGATTCAGATACTGTTTTTATTTTTAGTATTCGTCGAGATCTGTATCCGAATTCGATATTCATTAAAAATAAATGGATATTGATCTAATAATGGCAGATCCAATTCGATTAATATCTTTACACACACCCTCAAATCATAGGCACCCTTACTCCAAACTCTTAAGGCAAATAAAGCATCTTTCTGTTCAACTTTTTTTTTCTAGTTACTTCCTCCGTCTCAGAGTATTTGTCCACTTTTATTTTTACACACCATCCAATGTACTTCTTTAATTCATTTTATCTTGTAATATGTATATTAAAAAATTATAGAAATTATATATTAATAATCTATATGTTAAGTCATAATCATATTTAGGCTTATACATGGAGAGAATTTAATGAGTTATTTATTCTCAGTATAATCACATTAGATCTATCATATAGCAAAGGAAAGCACCCTATCAACTGCTTCAGCGTCTTTCACTTTGATCAGAACTAGGGGTGGACACGGTACCGGTACGGTACCGTCACCGGCAACGGTACCGCCGGTACCCGCCACCGTCACCGGCAAGGTCGCCGTGTCACCGGTTCCGGGAACCGGTACCGGTACCGCCACTTTCGGTACCGGTACCGGCGGTACCGGTCCGGTTCCGGTACCGGTATAATTTTTTTTTTTTTTTTTTTGATTTGAAATGCAAAAAAGTTAAAAAAAAAAGGTGGGGGGCGAAACAATTGCAATTTTTAAACAATTGCAATTTTACAATTGTAATTTTTTATAATTTAAAAATTAAAAAAAAAAAAAGGGGGGGCGAAACCGGCCGGTCCGGTACCGGAACCGCCGGTCCGGGAACCGGAACCGGTACCGGCCGGCACGGTATACTATACAGTTACTCGGGGTGGCGGTTCCGAACCGGAACCGCCCCGGAACTGTACCGTGTAAACCCCTAAATAAGTATCTAAACAACGCACTCTGGGGTCTGTTCCCCCGATCCAACTCATCTTCTCCTGCAATTTGATGGGTTCAGGCCTTTTTTCCACCGGCATTTCTACATGAAGTCATAAACACATTTAATAATCGCATTCGGAATGGTTTGATTCGAGGATTTCAGCGTCGGTCGAGTTTGAGAAATCACCGGTGAAAGTTTAGGTTTTGATTGACCAAAAGGGCCGGAGATTTTTTTCGGAAAAAAGGAGAAGATTTGAAGCGCTGGGTGCGAATCAGTCCCGGCAGATACCGTCCTCCGTCGGGCCGGCCGGTGGTTCGGGTTCAAAGATATGGTCTTTTCTTCGCCCTAGTCCACCTCCGCCTTACTCTCTCCACTACCTGCCCCCAATGGATTTCGTGCATCGCCACACCACGGCTCCAGAGCAGCAGAATCCACCTCCGCAGCCGTCCACTTCTGTTTCACCCTCCCCAGTCCCTCATCATGCTGTGGAAGAGCCCGAGTACTTGGCCAGGTATATGGTCGTTAAACATTCATGGCGCGGGAAATACAAGAGGATCTTGTGCATATCCAATTATACTATAATTACTTTGGACCCCTCTACTTTGTCTGTGACGAATTCATATGATGTCGGGAGTGATTTCGAAGCGGCCCAGCCTATAATTGGCAGGGATGACAATTCAAATGAGTTCAATATAAGTGTGAGGACTGATGGCCGTGGAAAGTTTAAAGCTTTCAAATTTTCATCCATGTATAGAGCCAGTATTTTGACTGAGCTGCATAGAATTCGTTGGGACAAGCTTGGTACAATTGGAGAGTTTCCAGTTTTGCATTTAAGGCGGAAAACTTCACAGTGGGTTCCATATGTAAGTAATCTTTTCTTTAGTCTTTTTCAAATATCTTTGTATGAGTTTGATTTAGAGCATATCTATTTGAAGCATTATATAGTACTCCATTCATCCTATATTTTTGAGTTCTCACTTTCTTTTATGGACATCCCAAAATGAAGTTAACACTCCTAAAAGGAATGAATTATGACATAAACTGTCACTCCTCTGCAAATGAGAACTAAATACGGGACACAAGGAATACTATACATATGATACAATACTTTAGCTACATATAGGTTATAAATATAGCCATGACGAGAGCACCAAACTACTATGCCCAAGAGAGTGAGAGTCATATATAAGAGACCCTAAAGAAGAAATCTCTGAAGCACTAGTGTGACTTTACTAGTTCTATTTGATAAATAGGGTGTCAAATTTTTGTATTTCTTGAGAAGACTGTGTGCATGACTTCAGATTATCCAAAGAATTATCGTATATTACCAAAGGGAAAAAAATTCTCGCCTGTTCAATTTAAACGACATGTTAATGATATAATTTCACATGCCACTAATTCAAAATGACTAATAGTTTTGTCAAATACTTGGCCAAAATAATTTGGAAAAACTACGTAATACACATTCAGCCTTATTTCTCCTCAAAAATATGGATCCGTGGCATTTTTCTAGAGCTTTGAAGGTCTCTTTGCTTCATTTGGCACTGTTGAATCTCTTTCTGTGGTGGACTGTAATGGCTTTTCACTAAGAATGAAGAGTGGCGAAAATTGCAGAAACCAATGGAGCATTCAATTGCAGATTTGCAGACCTTCTGTTTGTGGCTGTAACCGTCATAAAACCTCTATTTTGTACTTGTCACTTAGCAATTAGTGGATACTTTCATTCTACTGCAAATGTGGATGAAGTTCAATGTTACACATCCTTGTCTTTAAACCATTCTCTTGCTTTTATTCATTCCTTCATTCCACTGGTTTAGTAAATTTCTGTTGTTGTGATGATGAATTTGCTTCTTGCAGAAACTGAAGATTACATATGTAGGAGTTGAAATTACTGAATTAGAATCAGGAGATCTTCGTTGGTGTTTGGACTTTAGGGATATGGGTTCTCCTGCAATCATTCTTCTGTCTGATGTTTATGGGAAACGAAATGCTGAAGCTGGGGGCTTTGTTCTTTGTCCCCTTTATGGAAGAAAATCTAAAGCTTTCCAGGCAGCTTCAGGGACTTCAAATGCTGCTGTAACAGCAAATATTGTATGCAAAAGTCTTATTTTATAGCAATGACTAATCTTTTTCCAAAGTATGATACACCTTGTATTTGGTGTAATGTGTTGTCCACATGCTACTTATAGCAGTTACTTTTTTCTCTACCCTAAGTATTCAGTATTCCACGCTTTGTATTTGGTGTAATGTGTGGTTCAGAGTTCAGATACTATTTACTCAGTTGCTTTCAAACACCTTTAGTTTTGTTTTCCCTTTAGGAATCTTTAGGCTTTGGAAGATGTTTTTTACAATGTTTGAAGTGCTCTTGTGCAGATTAAATCTGCCAAATCTATGGTTGGGGTTTCATTATCAATGGACAGTTCTCAATCACTAACTATATCCGAGTATATAAAGAGAAGGGGTAGGTTTTTTTTTTCTAAAACAAAGTTCTTTTCCTTCAATGCATATTTCTATGACTTGTTCTCACATAACTCATTATTTATGTACTCCCTCCATCCTAATTTTTGCGCCCACTTTGACTGGGCATGAGTATTAATAAAGTGAAAACTATGGTTGAGATTTATGCATATGAGAGAGAACACTATGGACCACACTATATTCCTAGAAATGGAGACATGTATAAAAAATTTTGACGGGCCAAAAAGGAAAATAGACACAACAAATTGGGACATGGGGAGTAATTAATTAACTTTGTAATTTTATTTCTTGTGATGCAGCAAAAGAAGCGGTTGGAGCAGAAGAAACTCCTCTGGGTGCTTGGTCAGTGATAAGGCTGCGTACTAGTGCACATGGGACTGTAAATAGTCCTGGAACAAGTTTGTTGGTTGGCCCTAAAGGAGGCCTTGGGGAAAATGGTGATGCAGTATCTCGTCAACTTGTTCTAACAAAGGTTTCTATTGTTGAAAGGCGGCCTGAGAACTATGAAGTAAGCTAGTTCCGGTTCTTTTTTTTTCTATCAAAGAACATTTTGTAAATGCAGCCTTAAGTATAAGCTAATTTTATTTGATAAAAATCAAAGAAGGTCAAGTCTGATTATGAAAGAACACAAGATTTTAGCTTCACAGGCATTCACTTATATTCAGTTATTCTGAATAAAACGTTGATGCTATTACATGATTCTATGCCTGCTGCATCTTTCATATCTACTCTTTATATTAAGCAACCTTTCAAATTACATAAATGCATATGATAAGCAGACTGAATTCTGCTTGTACTTGTGTCATTCAAAGCTTTGATGCAATGTGTAGCACTTGATTAAATGTCAATCTTATGACTATAAACTTGCAGTATGACATTGAGTTTGATGCAAATGAATCTACTAAATGCTTGTAGGCTGTAAGTGTTCGACCTCTATCTGCAGTTAGTGCACTTGTTCGATTTGCTGAGGAGCCCCAGATGTTTGCCATTGAATTCAACGATGGATGCCCTATTCACGTATGCATTTTTGGCTCTTGAAGGATACCCATGTTTCTTTTAAACGCTATCTGTTGGTAGTAATCTATATTATTCTTTCAGATCTATGCGAGCACATCCCGAGATAGCTTACTTGCAGCAATTCGTGACATGTTGCAAACAGAAGTAGGTACCTTTAGTCCTCACTATTTCTTCTCTCTTTTTGTAGTTGGATGATGAATCAGCCTCTTTTGTTTTCATAGTTCACTTATACATGTGCATGCAACGGCAAGTCGAATTTTGCGAACTGGTTACTTCCTGTTGCTCCATCCATATTCAGTTACATGTTATTTGCTTTTTGCAGGGGCAATGCCCGATACCTGTATTGCCACGGCTAACCATGCCTGGTCATCGAATTGATCCTCCTTGTGGCAGAGTTCACTTACAATATCCTGTGACACCTAGCCCTGTTGCCGACTTGGAAACTGCAACCATGCACTTGAAGCATTTGGCAGCAGCTGCTAAAGATGCTGTAGCCGAGGGAGGATCTATTCCTGGATCGAGAGCCAAATTGTGGCGTAGAATAAGAGAATTTAATGCATGCATTCAGTATGGTGGATTACCTCATAATATTGAAGTACCCGAGGTCACACTAATGGCTCTTATCACAATGCTTCCAGCTGCTCCCAATCTCCCCCCTGAGTCACCTCCTTTGCCACCTCCGTCTCCTAAAGCAGCTGCTACAGTGATGGGTTTCATTGCATGTTTGCGCAGGTTGCTTGCATCAAGGAGTGCTGCTTCTCATGTGATGTCTTTTCCAGCTGCGGTTGGGCGCATCATGGGTCTTCTGAGAAATGGCTCCGAGGGTGTAGCTGGTGAAGTTGCAGGTTTAATTGCTGTACTTGTTGGTGGCGGTCCTGGGGAAACTAATGCACTTACAGACACCAAAGGAGAAAGGCATGCAACAATAATGCATACCAAATCTGTATTATTCGCTCAACCAAGTAATCTTATAATTCTCGTGAACAGGATAAAGCCTATTTCTGTATCACCCCTACTGTCAATGTCGATAGTTGAAGTTCTTGAGGCAATGATTTGTGAACCACATGGTGAGACAACTCAATATACAGTTTTTGTGGAGTTGCTACGTCTTGTAGCTGGGTTACGTCGTCGCCTGTTTGCATTGTTTGGACATCCTGCAGAAAGTGTGCGAGAAACAGTAGCTGTCATTATGCGTACAATTGCTGAAGAAGATGCTGTTGCAGCAGAATCAATGCGTGATGCTTCTTTACGAGATGGTGCGTTGCTGAGGCATTTGCTGCATGCCTTTTATCTTCCCGCTGGTGAGCGCTGTGAAGTCAGCCGACAACTTGTGGCTCTTTGGGCTGATTCTTATCAACCTGCCCTTGATTTGTTATCTAGAGTTTTGCCTCCTGGCCTTGTTGCATATTTGCACACAAGATCTACAAGTTCAATTGAAGATTTACCTAATGATGGCTCATTGCTAAGAAGGAGACAAACACGTCTCTTTCAACAGAGGAGGATACATCCTGGAAAAGCCATCACATCTAATGAACATCCTTTCCTTAATAACTATGGAATTGGTGATCAACCACGGCATGGTAGTATCATTCCTTTCAGAAGTCAAGATGGTTGTCAAAATGCTACTGTAGAACCAACTCCTGGACAGGTATCACAGATTCATTCAGCTGCAGGCCATGTGGGTGAAAACATCCAAACTGACACATCAACTACAGGTATCCTGCACACTGATCAGTCTGCAGCTGTTTCTTCTGCTGACACTCCTTCAACAAGTACATATGAGTCAGTAGAACCAACTTCTGATGCGAGCATGGTTTCTCAGAATGCAGGGCTTCCAGCTCCTGCTCAGGTAGTTGTAGAAGATGCAACTGTAGGATGTGGGAGGTTATTATTGAATTGGCCTGAACTTTGGCGAGCTTTTAGTCTTGATCACAACCGTGCAGACTTGATATGGAACGAGCGAACTCGACAGGAATTAAGAGAAGCATTGCAGGCTGAAGTTCATAATCTAGATGTTGAGAAGGAACGCACCGATGATATTGTTCCTGGAGGTGCAACTTCAGAGTCTATGACTGTCCAAGATAGCATGCCTCAAATTTCTTGGAACTATACTGAGTTTTCAGTTAGATATCATAGCTTATTAAAGGAAGTTTGTGTGGGTCAGTATTATCTTCGTCTATTGCTTGAAAGTGGTAGCAGTGGAAGAGCACAAGATTTCCCCCTGCGTGACCCAGTCGCTTTCTTTAGAGCTTTGTATCACCGCTTCCTTTGTGATGCAGATATGGGGCTTACTGTAGATGGTGCCATTCCTGATGAAATGGGTGCGTCTGATAATTGGTGTGATATGGGAAGGTTGGATGGTTTTGGAGGAGTAGGAGGATCTTCAGTTAGGGAGCTTTGTGCTCGGGCAATGTCAATTGTATATGAGCAGCACTACAATACTTTAGGCCCATTTGAAGGTGCCCCACACATTACTGTTCTCTTGGATAGAACCGATGATAGGGCCTTGCGGCACCGTCTTCTCCTCCTACTCAAGGTTATAAGAATAAAATTATTAGTCTCTCTTTTCCTTTCTTGTTTTGTATGCTTACTGGTAATTTTTTTTATTTCTTTTCTTGGTAAAGATTGAAATTGAGCTCCAATATTTATGAAACACAAGCTTACTGCAGGGATTTGAATTATAACTAAGGTCCCGTTTGGTACATGGAATTCAAACTATGGAATTGGAATTGGAGACTTCAATTCCAATTATGGTGTTTGTAGCACAAAAATTATGTGAATTTGGAATTAATAGTGCAAAAAATGAATTGAAATTGACAGAATTCAATTATATGGAATTGAATCCCATGGAATTTCAATTCCAATTCCACCAATTCCTTATACCAAACGGACCCTAAGAATATGATGTCGGTGACGTCAAGAAATAAGACATGGCATCTTTGTTTTCCTATCTTAAATCTAAAATATACCTTATCCTTTTGGCATTTGATGAATAGCACATCAGTCATAATCTTTAAAACCTTAGTGTTGTTTTGTTCAAGTGAGATTTGAATTTTATATGAGACTTAGTTTTCATTGTGAAACTTGATAGATTGCATTACTGTTATTTGCTCTGTCTTGAAATGACAGTTGTATTTCCATTTCCATTGTAACCAAGTGCTGTGTCTTTTTCTGAAATTTCTTTCCTCTTTCTGCAGGTATTGATGAAAGTTTTGTCCAATATAGAGGCATGCGTATTGGTTGGTGGTTGTNAGTTCATGAAGCTTCAGAGAGAACTGTTATACCCCTGCAGTCCAACTTAATAGCTGCTACTGCTTTTATGGAGCCATTGAAGGAATGGATGTATGTGAATAAGGATGGTGTCCAAGTTGGACCAGTTGAGAAGGATGCTATAAGAAGACTCTGGTCAAAGAAGGAAATAGATTGGACCACCAAATGCTGGGCTTCGGGGATGACTGATTGGAAGAGGCTACGAGATATTCGTGAACTTAGATGGGCACTTGCTATACGGGTACCTGTTCTCACTCCACCCCAGGTAAACCTATGATTGATGTAATCAACATTATGCATTTATGTCCCATTTGAGACCGTATCAAAGCGATATGGCTGTGAGTGGGAACACTTTTGTGTTCAAAGTAATTATTTAAATTTTTTTAACACACATTTCAATCTTTATTAGTACAATCAATACTTCTTAACTATAAAAATCCTGTTTTTATGTATTTAGATGTATTTCATGTGTTACTTATTTACGTTGTTGCCCAACTAGCTAATTATGGGGTACTAGTGCTAATTTTAAACAATTAATTGGCACTCTAAATTTTATTAAACCCACTCCATTCATCTGGAATTAAGTTACTGATGATGATTCCAGGTTGGTGATGCAGCATTATCCATATTGCACAGCATGGTGGCTGCACATTCAGACGTAGACGATGCTGGGGAAATAGTCACACCAACTCCCAGAGTCAAGCGGATCTTATCAAGCCCAAGGTGCCTTCCCCATATTGCACAGGTTTCGTTTCACCTTTTCTAATTGTTGATGAAGTGATTGAACTCATCTCCAAGTCCTGTTTACATTTTGAACTAATTCATGCAACTGCAGTTTTTAAATCGTGTTTGTGTTTGGTAGTCTGTCCTGCTCTGAGTTATGAGGCCGGTGTTATCTTAAATGGTAAAATATGATATATCAACATTCATTTTATTTTTTTGAACCAAAATGTATTAATCACCAAATAACAAAGCATACAGAATCTGTCTGCTACATTACACAGCAAGCAACAACTACAACAATAACAACCCAGGTGAATCCCACAAGTGTAGGGTCTGGGGAGGGTGTGTACACAGACCTTACCCCTACTCAAAAGTAGAGAGACTGTTTCCAAAGAGACCCCCAGCTCAGCGTCGAAAGTTGCATTAATTGACAGTTTAAAGATCCATTTTTGCTTTATTCCATCACACCCCAAAGTCAAAAATAGTGAATTTTTGGCTCCATCGGAGATGATGGAAAATATTATACAACAAGAACAAACAGCAAATCAACTAATAACACTCAATTACTTCCTAATCCCTCTAGCAGCAACAAGAGTACCAACATGAGTGTATGCCCTCATTCACAGACAAACCCTGGGTTTTGTGACCCTTCATATTTCTAGCTCTCCATATACAGTAGCAGCTGGCAGCAGACACAGCAATGAACACAGCTGGGTGTGTGATGGAATAAAGCAAAGTGGATCTCTAAACTATCTGCGCGACTGCGCTTCTTTAATTAATGAAGTAGCAGTTAGTCAATCAGTGCAACTTTCGGCCAGGGTCTCTTTGGAAACAGCCTCTCTACTTTCGAGTAGGGGTAAGGTCTGCGTACACACACCCTCCCCAAACCCTACTATTGTGGGGTTCAACTGGGTTGTTGTTCTTAGCAGGTTGAATATTCTCCAGATTAACAGCCATCTCAATCAGATTAGATCCCTTAATCTCATGGTCAATCCAAGGTGGTATGCTTTTCTAGACAGATACAGCAAAAGAGCAAGTACAGAAGAGATGTTTACAATCTTCATTATACTCCATACAGAGAGGGCAAAATAAACCAATCACCATAAACTTACTAAGTCTGCACTTAGTTTGGATCCAGCCCCTATAAATAAGCCAAAGAATGATTGTATGCTTAGCAATATTTAGCTTAATATATCTCCATTCCACCTCTTTTTTCCCATGAGCCAATAATAACCTTTTTTGGTGGTATACTGGTATTGTTGGCATCCAGAGGCATATTTCTGAAAACATTCATTTTATTTGCTTCTCTTATGTATATGTAGGCTATGCTTTCTGGGGAGCCAAGTGTTGTAGAGAGTGCTGCTGCTTTGTTGAGGGCTGTCGTTACGAGGAATCCTAAGGCAATGATAAAACTTTACAGTACTGGAGCTTTTTATTTTTCCCTTGCATATCCGGGATCCAATCTCCTGTCAATTGCTCAGCTCTTCTCAGTTACTCATGTTCATCAAGCGTTTCATGGCGGGGAAGAAGCGGCCTTATCTTCTTCTTTGCCTTTGGCAAAACGTAGTGTTTTGGGTGGACTTTTACCAGAATCCTTGCTTTATGTGTTGGAACGTAGTGGTCCGGCGGCATTTGCTGCTGCAATGGTTTCAGATTCTGATACTCCTGAGATCATCTGGACACACAAAATGAGAGCCGAACATCTCATCCGCCAGGTAGGTTGACATATAAAATTGGGACTGTCCTTTGTAATTCATTGCACTTTTCACAATGATATGGAGTACACAGTATTTAACTGGTTAGCTAAATTTAGCTTCTTTGTGCAGGTGCTGCAACACCTTGGTGAATTTCCACAGAAACTATCCCAACACTGCCATTCTCTCTATGAATATGCTCCAATGCCACCAGTGACTTACCCAGAGCTGAAAGATGAAATGTGGTGTCATCGATATTATCTTCGGAACTTATGTGATGAGGTTCGGTTTCCTAATTGGCCTATTGTTGAGCATGTGGAATTTCTGCAGTCATTGTTGGTAATGTGGCGGGAAGAGTTAACACGGAGGCCCATGGATCTTTCTGAAGAAGAGGCCTGCAAAATATTGGAGATTTCCTTAGATGAGGTTTCACGAGATGAAGCTCCTAAGAATAAACTCTTTGAGATGTCACATGAGATTCCTAATATCTCAAAACAGATTGAGAACATTGATGAAGAGAAGCTCAAGCGCCAATACCGAAAACTTGCAATGAAGTATCATCCAGATAAAAATCCTGAAGGGAGAGAAAAGTTTCTGGCTGTGCAGAAAGCATACGAACGATTGCAGGTCTCCCTTACTCATGGCCTCATGGGCTTTTTTTTAATTATTAAAACCTAATCTTGAATCTGGAAGGAATGTGGGTTCTAGAGAGTCCGTTTGGCATTATCTTTAGCGTTTTGTAAAAAGCTATCCTACATTACCCTTCAGTTTTAGGGATTTTAAAGTTCATCTCCACCATTAAAAAATTATTCAAAGCTCTAACACTAATTACAAGTTTCAAGACAGGTGTAAAGTCTGACACACAAGTTTCAATTGTATTTTTACCTGATGCCTTAATAGGGGATATTTCACGCCCTTCCATACCCTGAATTGGCATCGGCATTTAAATTGTTCTAATTTGACGATGAATTTGTTCCTTGAAATTGTGTGAGTTTAGTTCTAATTTTAAAAAAAAGGCTGCTGACCGTATACTAGTATACTATAAATTTTAAACAAATAAATTAAAAATAATTATACTCAAGTTGTTTTTAACAACAAAAAAGCATTAGGCAGCCACAAATGTTCAAGTTGTTTTGCATGGGGGTTTTGTTTGAGTTATACCTTTTTGTTTGCTCAAGCACTTCCATGTTGGTCTTTTTGGCCTGTTTACTAGCTTCTCATATAATGCTTGTTAACACGTTGAATGCTACAATCAAATTTGAATATCATATGTTTTCTTAAGTTAGAGTATATACCCTATTAAACTATACCTTCAAAGACCCCCCCCCCCCTACCCGCAGACACACACACACAGGTCAAGTTGTATTTGCACAGGGTTTTATTTGACTGTAACTTTTCACTTGCTCACAGACTTCGGTGCATGTTCCTTTGTCCTATTTATGATAACAACACCCTGTATAATCCCAACTCTGATGGGGTATGAGGGTTTAAGATGTAAGAAATTTTACCCTCTAAAGAATTGAGACCGGAGACCTTAGACCCTTGATTTATTGCTGCATTTAATTCTTAAACCTTCATAGAAAGCACATAGTAAGAAGCAAGATAATTTAATGTGCCATTTTGATCTAGTCCATTATTTATCTGAAGCTAAAACTTTGCAATAAAGGACTCTTCTATCTCTGTTGGCAATGGATGGATGTTTTATCGCCGTTTCATTATACTTTCCTTACAAGTTGAGGAGCTTGTGACGATGGCTTTTTATTTTCATCATTGTGCATTCATTATAAGATTGCAACAAGAAGAGTATCATGTGTAAAACTATGCTAATAATTTTTCTTTCGTTTGGGCACGATTTTGTCATCATGCAATCTTTATTAATGTATGGCTTAATATTTGGCTATTAAGTCTTGAGTTCAAGCCTTGGAAACAGATTTTTGGATATAGAGTTTTTTTGGCATATTTTGCTTAGTGCATGTCTTTGTGCACTTTATCTGGCCCTTTATTATGTGGTTATTTGCATGTTATGGATGGCTAATTTACGCACCCATTTCCATTTAAATAATGCGTTGAACATTATTTTTGCTAGGCGACAATGCAAGGGCTACACGGTCCGCAACCTTGGAGGTTATTGCTTTTGCTGAAGGGGCAGTGCATATTGTATAGGCGCTATGGTGCTCTGCTGGAGCCATTTAAGTATGCTGCGTACCCAATGCTATTAAATGCAATTACTGTGGATCAAGATGAAAACAATTTTCTTTCTTCTGATCAGACACCTCTTCTTGTTGCAGCCTCAGAGCTGATATGGCTGACGTAAGTACCATGAATGCAATTGACCTCTTATCATCTCTGCTTCATATCAACTTTGACCAATAAGTATTTGAACTTTGCTTTAGGTGTGCATCTTCCTCACTAAATGGCGAAGAGCTAGTAAGAGATGGTGGAATAAAACTACTAGCAAATATTCTTTCTCGTTGTATGTGTGTCGTTCAACCAGCTACTCCTGCAAGTGAACCATCAACTGTCATTATTACAAATGTGATGCAAACCTTTTCAGTTTTGAGTCGTTTCGGGAGTGCCAGAGCTGAAATGCTGCACTTTTCTGGACTAGTCGTTGATATCGTTCATTGCACTGAACTTGAGCTTGTTCCAGCTGCTGTGGATGCTGCTCTCCAGACTATTGCCCATGTCTCTGTTGACTCTGCCTTTCAAGATGCCTTACTTAAATCTGGGGTGTTGTGGTAAGATAAACTGTCAGATCTTGAACTCTTTATGGACTGTGTGAAGATAAGTAGAATGTTCCAATGTGTGCTTCTTTTTCATATTCTTATGAGGCTCGATGTGGATACTTTTCTATAAACTTTCTCTTTTAATTTTTTTTGTTATTCAAGGACTATACATTAAAATTAACGCACTTGCTTGTATCACCATTTCATTCTTTACCTTTCCTCTACCTAAATTGTTTGACAGAGCCAACACCCTCACTATCTCTTTTCCTTGAAGCCGCCTCTTATCCCAAAGCTCTTATTGTAATTGTCATCCATAGCGTGGACACTGCCTCTTATCTCTAAACTCTTTTCCTTGAAGCGGTCTCATCTGCTGATCCTGGGCAGGATTTATTTTTATGTCATTGTGGACTTATACACTGAGTTGTTCCTTAGAGCGAGGAATAGAGAAGAGGATGGGGATACTTCATCTACTAGTACCTTAATTGATGATTGCAGGTTCCTGATGGGTCAAAAAATTGAATTGGACTCATTCAGCATACGCTGCATGAGGGGAACACATGGCCGGGTGCGGACTGGCACTTCTTATCTTGGACCAACCGCCTGGGAGTTCTGAACAGGCTTATCTGGGAAGACACTAATGGACTTGTGTCCATTACGTGTTAGTCGTTGTGTTTTTTCTATTTGTTGTTTCATTTCCATCGTATCCCCATAAAAATTTGGAATTACGAGCAACCATAGTAACACTCATTCTACCATGATATGATGCATTATTTGGAGCCACTAATTAAATAAGCTGAGCAATTCTTGGTTGGTGATGCTTTGGCCCTGGTGAGGCTTATTGTAAAAGAATCTCTTACAAATGGCCTGATCTGTGTTGCTTTCTGCCTTTCTGGATAAAGATCCTTTCGTGTGTTATTCGCCTCCAAAAGTCTCTATCTCACTTAGTACCTTTGGTACATGTCTTTGTTTTAAGCATATGGTCTCCATTTAGTTATGTTATCTGGGTTACAATATTTGTAGTCGTGGAACACAGGATACTGTGTAATGATTATATCCTTTTCTGTTTTAGGTATATACTGCCACTGCTGCTTCAGTATGATTCAACCGCTGGGGAGTCAGAGAAGGCAGTAGCCCATGGCGTTGGTGAAAGTGTTCAAATTGCAAAGAATTCACATGCTAAACAGGCTGCTCAGGCATTGTCAAGGCTTAGTGGTTTGGCTACTGGTGAGGATCCAACTCCATATAATGTGGCGGCAGCTGATTCCCTCAAAGCTCTGTTGACGCCAAAACTTGCAAGTATGCTGAAAGATCAATCACCCAAGGATTTATTGTCTAAACTAAATGCAAACTTGGAGAACCCCGAGGTAATTGTCAGACACCTCATGACTCCATTTAATTCCCATAATGATTTTTTTCACTCAAATGCTTATTTGTATGCATGGAATTTCCACTTGGAACACACAATTCTTACTTAGTTTTTCTGTACTTCTGATTCATATTCTACTTCTAATTGTAGATTATATGGAACTCTTCAACACGAGCAGAACTTTTAAAATTTGTTGACCAGCAGCGTGCTAGCCAGCGTCCTGATGGTTCATATGACTTGAAAGATTCACATTCCTTCGCATATGAAATACTCACAAAAGAACTGTTTGTTGGAAATGTATACTTGAGAGTCTATAATGACCAACCAGATTATGAAGTCAGTGAACCTGAGGCATTCTCTGTTGCTCTCGTTGAATTCATTTCATGTTTAGTTAGAAGCCGGGACACTCTAGGGACAAATGTTCTTGTGAATTCTCAATCCCCTGTGATGCCTGAGTTTCAAAATGATAAAACAAATGCATCATCTGATGAGAATAATTCTCCTGATACTAAACCTTCACTCTCTGCTGGGGAAGTGAAGAATGAGGAGGAACTTGATTTAGTGAAGAACCTTCAGTTTGCTTTGGTTTCTCTACAGGTACAGAATTTATTATTTATTTTATGGTTAGGTATATATCGATTTGAGATTTATCATTTTCTATTGGATTTTTCCAGCATCTTCTGACAGGCAAACCGGAGTTGGCATCAGTATTTGCTGCAAAAGAAAAATTATTACCACTTTTTGAGTGCTTTTCTGTTCCAATAGCTTCAACAACCAATATTCCTCAACTTTGTTTAAGTGTGCTTTCATGCTTGACAACGCATGCTCCCTGCTTGGAAGCTATTGTTTCTGATGAAGCTAGTCTCCTCCTTTTATTGCAAATGCTACACTCGTCACCAAATTGCCGTGAAGGAGCTCTCCATGTTCTTTATGCCTTGGCAAGCACACCAGAGCTTGCATGGTCAGCGGCCAAGCATGGTGGAGTGGTCTACATTCTAGAACTACTCCTTCCTATGCAAAGTATGCTGTTTTTAGTTGTCTACTTATCCATGTAGAAAATGTACTGTATTTACAAATTGAAATTATATCATGCAGAAGATGTTCCTCTACAGCAAAGAGCAGCTGCAGCTTCTTTAATGGGGAAGCTTGTTGGGCAACCCATGCATGGGCCAAGAGTTGCGATAACTCTGGCTAGATTTCTGCCTGATGGCCTTGTATCTGTCATTAAAGATGGTCCAGGTGAAGCAGTTGTGAGTGCACTTGATCAGACAACAGAAACTCCAGAACTTGTATGGACTCCAGCAATGGCTGCTTCTTTGTCTGCTCAAGTTGCAACCATGGCATCTGAACTTTATCGTGAACAAATGGAAGGTCGTATTGTTGATTGGGATGTCCCTGAGCAGGCATCTGGCAATCAAGATATGAGAGACGAACCACAGGTTTGTGTCTAATGCAGTGTAGGCCTTATTGCAAACTGTTGAGAAAAAAAGGCTTGTTTTTGACAGTTGACACTACTTTCTTTGCATGCAGGTTGGAGGGATCTACGTTAGATTATTCCTAAAGGATCCAAAGTTTCCTCTTAGGAATCCAAAAAGATTTTTGGAAGGACTACTTGATCAATACCTGTCATCCATTGCTGCCACTCACTATGATGACCAATTTGTTGACCTTGAACTCCCTTTGCTTCTATCTGCAGCGTTGGTATCCTTATTACGAGTACACCCTGCTCTTGCCGATCATGTTGGATATCTGGGATATCTGCCCAAACTTGTCTCTGCAGTGGCATATGAAGGAAGGAGAGAAACAATGGCAGTTGAAGAAATGACAAATGCCGATAATTCGAATGAAGAAAATGAAGGAGATGATGGTTCTGCAAAGCTCCATTCTCCAACTCCACAAGAACGTGTGCGCCTTAGTTGTTTACGGGTCTTGCATCAACTTGCTGCTAGTACAACTTGTGCTGAAGCTATGGCTGCAACTAGTGTAGGAACGCCACAGGTTTATTTACTAATTTAGAATTCTAAACTGATATATCTGCATTTACTTTGCTCTAGATGGCTACAATTTTCATTTACTCTTTTTGGCTTTATATATTCCAATTTTGCCTTTATTGGATCACTTATGGATTGTAATGTTGCTGTCTTCAGGTCGTTCCTCTCTTGATGAAAGCCATTGGATGGAAAGGTGGAAGCATATTGGCTCTTGAAACATTAAAACGCGTGGTCAGTGCAGGAAACCGAGCAAGGGATGCTTTGGTTGGACAAGGGCTAAAGTGAGTACTCTTTCATGAGATTCTTGTTTAATATAGGTTTTATAGAAAGAATACAGCCACCTAGCTACTCAACATTCTCCAAGCAGCACACATATTGCACATTTGCACCCAAAATAGCTGTTTTGACTATCTTTATCTCAAGTTTTTCCAGTTTTCAGTATGAAGTTTCATGCTTCAGTTACATGGCAAGCTTTGTGCATATTTTCATATGCTTCTTTTTTGGGTGGATATATTCTGCAAATAAGCACTGAAATTTAGTAATTTTAGTTATAGAAAGAATATGCTATTCCGTTCCTTTTAGGTCAGACTCATTCTTAAGCATTGTAACAGTCTTCAGAAGTCATAAAGTTTTAAGTTAAAGTCATCGCAATAGAATGCACTTCTGTTTTTGAATATTTTAGAAAGCCTACATGGGCCGTTGATAGAACTCAAGATTGGTGGGGAAAATAAATGAAGGATAGTCTTTATCAAATTATGAAATCAAAATCTAAATTCATAAAATGATAAAGATGAAGGGAAATCTTTATCAGAATATGAGCAAGAAAAATACCGAATGAAGGGATTTTTTAAAACTTTTTTAATACCAATATTCAAATAAATTAGATTAAAAATTTGTCTGGTTAAACATAGTAAACCGTAAACTGAATTTTGTTTAGGGACGGAGGGAGCATTACCTACAGGCCAGCCATCCAGCCCATGGTTCCCACATAACTTTAAAAGTGCAATGTTTTTAAAGAACACTTGTGGAATGTGTGATGAAGTTTTGGTTTTTAACGTATGGCACACCTGGATGTGCGTTTTAAGTTTTTAAAAATATAGTTGTTACTTAGCTATACAAATATAGTTGTTTACCACAAACTGTTACCGAGGAATTTGTGTCTACTTGTTTTTGTCAATGGAACCGTGCTCAAAAATGATACACTTAATGCCAAAGGCCCAAGGCTAGAGGCATGGACATGCCTAAAATTGTGTCGTATGCATGTTGCGAATACTGGTGTCTCGGTCGTTGCTTTAAAAACAAATAAAGACTATTAAAGGTTTTGATGTTCTGAAATGAAGGACCTCAAAAACATCTTTCTTTCTCATTTTCGTTCACAGCTTTGTCGTGTGCCATTCATCTTTGTTTGCTGTTGTGTGACTGTATGTCTCCTTTTGTTTTCTCTCCCAGCTCTCCGAGTCCTGGTGTGGTTTTACCTTGTTAGTGTATCTAGGGTTTTGTATTGAGAACAGGTCTGATTTTCCAGCAGGTCTAATGTGTCGTTTAATTTCCACCTTCCTAATTGTTTCATAAGGAAAGGATTGGACGGATTTTACAGTCTTTTACATCCCTTCCCGTGTATTTGTGTGTGAGGGGGGCTCAAATATGGTTTTGGTCTCACTACATATAACATTTTTTTGTTTTAGGTCCTTGAATTGTTCGTTGTTTTATGGCCTTGCAATTTACATTTATATCTTTCTAGCCGCTATTTGACTCTCTAGTCTTTGCCAACCTCAGCTTAAAAAGTTTGACATTGCTGACAATATAGCCCATGTTTGATCCTCTGTCAACCTCTGTTTAAAACATTTGACATGGCTAAAGATTGTAGCCTTTTTTTTCCAATTCATCTTGTTTTCTATAAATACTTAATATTTGATTTCCAGAGAGCCATAGGCATTTACCATAGTGGGAATGATTCAGAAAAGTAATGGAAAACTTACTTCAAAGGTAGGAGGAGTTCTACAAGCCATGCCCACTTTTTGTGTGCTGAGTTTACTATCCCTCTCTTATTCTCATTTATGTTTAACGTTTCACCTCTTCATCTTTGATTGTTCTAACATGTTTATACTTAGTAATCAGTTTTCCATGAAGTATTCTTGACCAATTTAGGGATTTGGAACATCTTTCAGATTGCAATGACAACATAAAGTTTGTAGCTTATTGATATCTTCTACAGGTCATGCATCTTTGTTCAGTTTTTGCCCATTGAAAATAATCTATTTGGTTTCTTTAGGGTTGGTCTTGTTGATATACTTCTTGCCCTTCTTGATTGGAGAGCGGGGGGAAGAAATGGACTATGCTCACAGATGAAGTGGAACGAGTCTGAAGCATCCATTGGTCGAGTACTTGCAATTGAGGTGTGTAGATTTATGTCACATTACTGCATCTTAATGGTTGTAAATTTGTATATTTGAAACATCCCTGTTTAATTATCATGGAAATGATCTCTTCTATAAATGTCCACCCTTTTTGTAGTTTCAGATTTTTAAATTATCTGCCTCACTGCATGAACCTTTTATTATTCTGAGTGCTTTTGGGAGGAGAATCAGTTGCCGGAATTATTTTCTATAATTGGATTCAAACACCCCCTAAGTTTGAGATTGTCCCAATGCAGTTATAACTATTGTTAAATATATTACATACGGAGTATGAGTTATCTGTTAAACATCTTAAGGGTGGTGCTGGTTAAACTATTTAAAGTGCTGGTTAAACAATTTTAACGAACATATGGAGTATTTGTAAAAGGGTCGTGCTCTCTTTTCATGGAAACCTTTTCACTTGCTTGTAATACAGAGCACATGTAACTGCTTTGTTTAGTTTGAAGTATGTAATGCAAATCATATTTGTATTCTCTATTGCAAGGATGTTTTTAATCTTGCACATAACCTCACACCTTTGTTAAATCGCTTTCCTATATGTCTAGGTTTTGCATGCCTTTGCAGCGGAAGGGTCACATTGCATGAAAGTAAGAGACATACTGAATGCCTCAGATGTAAGTTTCACGCCTTCATGAAAGCTGCTTGTTCTTGTTGATTTATTTTTCATTTTCTCAAGATTTTGACGGCATGTTATTTGTATTCACTTTAAGGCAGAGGAGGGTTAGCTGATAAGGCCTTATAATTGGTGCATAGTGTCACAAGTCACAACTGTTATGACATATGCAAACAGACTATTCAAATGGTTGTCACATGTGTTATCAATCAGCAAATAAACGAGCCAAAATGCATTCTCTTTATATACTCCTTGTAACATACACCGAAACAACAAACCTCTAACATTGACTTGCATACAGTGATCTTCTGAGAATCTGCTCATTAGAAGACTTTCCATATGCATTTACAATATGATGGACAACCCAGTGAATGAAATGGTCTTTTCTTCAATAGTCTAAGCATAATTCTAAGTTAAATACTTGAGAGGGCAGAACCTAAACCCACAACTTGCTGAGTTGTAGGCCCATTATTATTTGATTCCATCACATGGGGCAAGTGGGGATCTACAGGCATATAGATGATGCTTGTTTAGGATAAAAGCATTGGCCTTTGAGCTTAGTCACTGATTTTTTGAACTGAGGCTATGCTGTTTTGACTTTTGATTTTGCATACAGTGAGCCACTAACTAGTAACTATCATGACTCTGGGAGGAGAATTATCTTTTCTTGCTTCTTAATTTCTACGGAATATGAATTTTTGGGTAGTAAATATATCACTGGTATAGAGGGAAAAAAACTCTGTTTTTACAGGTGGCAAGGGTAAGGTTGTGTACATATTGACTCCCAGACCTTGATGGAGTTGGGATTATCCCAAGTTTGTTGTTGTCCACTTTCACTTGAAAACTTGATTTATCTCTTCTCATTTCCTCATTCTTGGTTTTGTTCCCATTCCTTTTTCTGTGGTTTTACTAAGCATTTTTTTTGCGACGGGAATAGCAAAAACTTTGAAATTAGATTTCCCTTCACATTCTGACCTGCTTATATATGCACTGCTGACATTTTTTTTATGTACACTATTGAGATTAACAAAAATCTGCACCCATTAAAAAAAATATTTACAAATTTGCAAGTTCTTACTTCCTATAATCAATGAACGCTGAAGTGTTATGGTCATGCCAAATTTACAGGTATGGAGTGCATATAAAGACCAGAAGCACGATCTTTTCCTCCCTTCGAATGCTCAATCTGCTGCTGCTGGAGTTGCCGGTCTTATTGAGAATTCCTCACAAGGGATGACTTATGCCATCACTGCTCCCCCACCGCAGAGTGCTCAACACAGACCACCTTCCATAGTTTCATCTGAATCAAATGGGAAGCATGACGTGTCTTCGTCATAACACGAGAAGGTCTGTAATTACTCTCAAGACTTGAAACCATTTAATCTCTCTACTGTTGCAGTAGCATCTCAGATCAAAAGTTTGTATAGGTTTTGTATAGTATTACATTTCTCCTCATATCTCATTTGGAGATTCAGAAGTAGGCCGAAAGGAAGGGTTCGGGTTGACCCTTGACAATATATGTTCTGTGTAAATCAAATATGCCGATTACGACTTGCAGATTTTCTTCGAACAGTTGAAGGTTTAGTCTTCCTCTTCCAGTGGGTTGAGGTCTTGTGGAAATATATGGGTTTCTTGTTATCTGTTCTTTTTCTTGGTTTAAACAATATACCTATCCAATAACACGAGTGATAATGTTCATACTCCATTGCAAGCACTGCAACTATAGCATTCATAACAAGATTCAGATGATCTTTGTTGGGAGATATACACTTTGCGCTGTGTTGGTTTTGTTTTTAAAATTTTGGTATGTGCCCTAAATGGTTGCCGCATTCTACGGGAGTATATTTGATTGAAGTTATTTTCTATTCAATTTATGAAATAATTGCATATTTAAAAATTACGTAGTACATCAAAAATTCTATAAAACAAGCGATGATATGATTATATTATTTTATCAAATGACTAATGAATATAGGTTAAGAAAATAAATAAAGATTGACCCTGTAAATAATGTATAGGAAATTTAATTTCTGGCCGAAACATTATTTTCTCATTCATTATTTGCGTGGTCGAATTTTATTCATTTTGTTGGCTTAGTTGCGTTGTCCAGTTGAAAAACGCATAATATAGTTATGTCACATCTAATTTTGTTGATCTTTTGATGTAAATTTTAAATACTCCCTCCGTCTCATGTTGGATGCTACACTCCGAACAACACGTAAAATCTCATTATTTTTAAAATTATTTTAATTACAAATTAGTATACAAATAAAAATATAAAAAACACTGTACATAAAAAAATTCACTCTCTCCGTTCCAAATTAAATCACATGTATACTATTCACATGGTCAAACTGCATTCACTTTCTTTGTCTATTTTCTTTAGTCATTTGATAAAATTATATAGTCATGTCACAACTAGTTTTGTAGATCTTTTGGTGTAGTTTTTTAAAATCCGACTTTTATTTTTTAATTTACACTATTTTCATATAAAATGATTTAGTCAAACATCGTAAATTGAAACAGACGATTTAAATTAGGATAGAGGGAGTAATAGTGACAATTTGGAGTGGCAAGAATTATTTACTTTATCAAATTATCAAAGATAGTATATAAATAAACAAAAGTTATCGAAAAATCGTAATAGTGATAAGATGTTTTTTAATTACACATCATTTTTTATATAAAAAAATTGAATATAACTCCAATCATAAGTTGTAAAATTCAACAAGAAGAATATTTTTAGACTCAAGGTGTATAGTTAAGGACCACATCATTTATTATTATTATTATTATTATTATTATTATTATTATTACTATTATTCTTGTTCTTAAAAATGAAAAAGAATAAACTTTAGAAATAGGTTAAATAGAAAACTGAGAAAGTAATCTTTAATTATTAGACGTCAGAAAAATTAGTTTTAAAATACATTGACAATGTCAATCTCATTTTACTTTTAAAATATATTTTTATTGCTACTTGTAATTTGAGTTTCTAAAGTTTCGATTTTTTATAAGGATAAGATATTTTAATAAAAATACTATCTCTTCTATATATTGATTATCTAAATTTAATCACTTTTTAATGTATATCTAAATTAAATATTTATTATAATGTATATATGAAATAATTATTAAAATATTAAATTAATATTCTAATTTCACAAAAAAATAATCATAAAATAAAAAATATTATTACATTATAATATGAATGATTATTCTAATATATGAATTAACTAATTTTATTTTATTAAAAAATAATCATTAAATAAAAAATATTGATTATATTATAATATGAATTATCATTACAATTTTCAAACGTTATTATAAAGTCAAATCAAATTATTGGTTTAAAATTTTAAATTAAATCATAATTAATCAGATCAGATCAGACTAGATCAGATCAGACTAGATCAGATCAGATCCAATTAGACCAGATCAGATCAGAACTTATTAAAATCAGATCAGATTAGAAAAAATAAGTTGAATGGAACGGAGCCTAAGCCAAGTGTTCCGAGATACTCCCTCATTTACAAGCTTCCATTATCCATACTTTAACTCATTTCATTATCAAGTATATATTCCTTCCCTTTTGGAACTAAGCCAAAATCATAAATTGGGTTTAATTTTTCAAATTTATCCGCCGTGAAATGAACTTTGATGTGTATGCCCAACTAGTAGCCAGGAGAGTGTGCAAAGTGGCCAACCACACAGGGCCCCGTATTTTTAAATTTGTAAATAATTTTAAAATAAAAGTATTCTAAAAAGATAAAATAGGGCCCATGTATAGGCCCATGGGTGGTCAATTTTATTTTTTTTCATTTTTGGACTGGGAAAAGAGTGTTTAACTTTAATGCCGGTGAAAATAAATGGGGTGGGATAGAAATACTGATTTTAAAAAAAAAGCCTCCCACTCTTTTTCAATTCTCCCGAACTTTCTCTATCAGTTGACAAACGCCTTTGACATGGAAACACGTGATGTGATTCACACCTTGCGATGATACATTTATTTGTTTTTTAGTGCCACCGCATAAATGGATCGGATAATCACCGGCTTATTAATGCTAATTAACTAGCCGGTTAGGGATGGCTAACTACTCCTTAGTCCCTACTAGTCTTGTTCTGTTTTTTCAATTCGAATTGCCATGTACAACAAATAAAGTTTGTGTTGTATGTTACTCCGTAGTAAAATAAATAATTTTATTAGTTAAATTCTTAATGTTTTTTTTTTTGAAAATTATTGTATACTAATTAAATAAATACTTTAGATTGGGAAGAGTACCACTTAGGTCATATTCTTTTCACCTAATCTGATTGGAATGAATTGTGATCTGATCTGAATGTAGTTGTATTTAAATCTATTTCTGATCCGATTTTTTTTATTCTATTCCAAAAAGAATAAGTGAAAAAAATAAATTTAGGAGAACGTGACCTTATTAGAGCATGTGTAGTGGGCGTGGTCGGCGCCCATACAATGCGGAAAGAACACCCCCCTTAGAAGTATATATTATTTTTCAAAGGAACACGCTATTTATTAGAATTTGTGTGGTGGGCGTTATAACCCCGTACGTTGCCCCTACAACTCCGAAGAACACACACCCCCACTCCAGGCGTCATGTCCTAAAAAATGAAGGCGCCATCTGCATAGCGTCGTGCCCCCTCTCGCGTTTTACTTCCTCCAATCGATCGATCATATCATTACAACGACCTCATCTCTCACACATTTACATTGTCTTCTTTTGGGTTGAAATTTTAAAGTTGAATATTGGAAGAAACTGAAATGAGACAGAAGAAACTGGAAGCTAAGGAGTTGGACTAAAATTGGAATGAGCTAGAAAATATTGAATATTGGAGGAATAAAAATTTTAAAAAGTTACTCAGTTAAATGATCATCCAAATAAATATATAAGAAAATTTTAGTTTTGGTTAAAAAATCATCTTTTTCAATGCTTGAGCCTCGAGGTGCCATGTTATAAATTTAGATATATAATGTTAGAATATAAATAATGGGCCACAACCACAAGCTTGAGCTTCTGGTTAAGTTGGTTTCTTGACATGGTATCGGAGCCTTGTTGACTAAGATGTCACAGGTTCCAAAGTCAGCGCCACCCAATTTCTTTATATATACGTGTTGGAATTGTGTACACGCTAACACCCATCATGTGATGTCATAAAAGCAATTAAATGTTAAAATTGTCTAACCCGGAAGACGGGCCTGGGTAAGGGTACGTGGATCCATTTTGAGTTTTCTAAAAATGATTATGTAAAATAACTACTCCGTATAATTAATTTATTAATAACTATCACAATATTTCTACCCAACATATTAAACATGGAGTATAAAAATTTTGAAAACATAAAAAGATAGAACTATTTACGTCACGTACAACTAATCTAAAGTAAATTTGAGATTAAATTCAAAGACTTGTGACATAAAAAAATTCTGAGCAACTTCGATCTGGATCAGATCCGACCAAGGCCCGGTCTGGATCTAATAACACAAATGGTAGACCTGGTGGGTCTTGGATAGGAGTGAAGATCACTTTCTTTTAAAATGGGTACCACTCAAAATTGCTTCATCTGTTCTAAAATATTTGTCACATTTTTTTTCAACAATCACAAAAACTTTTATTTATTTGTAGGTTTTCATTGATTATTTGATCAAATAAAGTATTACTGAGACCTCTTATTTCAAAAAAAAATTTTATGATAGAATTTAAGATTGAGTAGAGATTACTAGATTAGGCAATAAGACACTTGGAGTGAACCACATTAAAAGATTGAATCTAATGAATTAGTTAGTTCAACTCAAGAGCTTATAAACCAATTATTTTACTCATGAACTTCCGATGCGAAATGGACTTTAACATTTTATATAATTTTTAAATGTGTAAATTTTATTTTTTGTTCCAATACCAATATTTGGGACTCACTCATTAACAGGTCTAACTCAATACATTGATAAAATATGAATCAATAAATTGATAAAATATGAAATACTCCATACTTCCAAAAACTATTTCTGAACTACGTGAGGTACTCACTTTTTTATATGGTCAACATCTAATAAATGAGGTAGAAGTTTTGGGAAATAATTTTTGTTTTGACTTTTGGTGAATTTAATGGGAGTTTGTTTTATAATTAGCTCATTTTTGTTTGTGATAGGTAAAAATATAATTTGATGAATATATTAATAGTCAATGGATATGATCTGATAGATATATTAAAAATTTGTAAGATTAAAAATATTTTTTTAATGAAAAGTAGAAGTTTTTTATTTGAAGATCGAAAAGTCAAAGTGGAATGGTTGTGTGGAACAGATAGATTTGGAAAAAATGACCTGACTTGTTTTTTATCCGAGACCTAACTCGGAAAATACAGGGTTTTGAAATAAGAGTTTGTTGCCCGAAATCAAACTTGACCGAACCCGAAATGATCCGCTAAAAATAGGTCAAACCCGACCAAACCTAAACCTGAACTCGACCTGGCCGACCTGCTAATGTAAGAATTTATCAAAATTATATATCTTTACTATGAAATATAATGTTACAAAAAATAAGATTATAATTATATTTCTTTTCTTACTACTCGTTTTTATTGTATAAATTTATATTTTCATATAAAATTTTAATGATATTGCATGATTATCTTAGTTATTTTTAAAATTTTTGCATATTTAGTTTTTTATTTTTAATACTAACACTAGATCATAAAAATTACTTAAAATTTCTCTCTTCTCCCTTTCATAGTTGAGCGACTCTCATTAATTTCTCGTCTCTTTCTCTTCT